CCCAGCTAATTTATTTTTTTTTGTAGATACAGGATCTCCCTATGTTGCCCAGGCTGGTCTTGAACCCCTGGGTTCAAGTGATCCTCCAGCCTCAGCCTCCCAAAGTGCTGGGATGACAGGCAGGAGCCACTGTACCTCGCCTTCTTCTGTCTCATAAGGACACCTGTCACTGGATTTAGGGCCTATCCTAAGTCCAGAATGACCTCAAGGTCCTTCAGTGACATCGGCAAAGTCAGTATTTACAACTAGGGTCCCACTCGCAGGTTCCAGGTGTGTGTGCATCTTGTGGGGGACATTATTCCACCCACTACAATGCAGAATTCCATTTTCCAGCAAATTTCCAGGCAACAGTCACGGGCGTAGGCAGCCGGCATGGAGCAATGGCCCCAACATTAGCACTGTCACCCTGAGAACCTGCTCTTGACGCTCCCTGGGAGGACCAGTTACAGGATGTTCCTGTGAAATGCATTTCAAGGAAAGGTCAGACTTTACACATGAATACCCTGAATTTGTGTTTCAAATTCATGTGCTGTGTTCCCTGCAGTAAAACTTTCAGCTGAGCAGAAAATATTTTTCCAATGAACCATTTCCTAAAACAAGCCCATAAGTGTAGTCTAATGCCTCTGCAACGGCCACTGTGGCAATCGGCGGTGATTTAACTCTCGCATTGGAGATGGTCACTGATGGCCACACTGACAAATGGCCAGAAAGGCACCCGCAGGGGAGGGCAAGACTCTCCGCGGATGGTCGCAGAGGAGCCAGCACAGGTTGCAGAGGCCGCAGACGATGCCCGTCCCAGAGGCAGTTCACTGACACCCGTGCCCTTCGCATCTGCTCCTCACGGGCATCACCCCTGCTCGGGGCTCAGGGGAGAGGCTTAGGCTGGCTAATTGCCCACCTCCTCTGCAAAGCTTGCGAGTATCGGAATTCCTGGGGTCCTGGTTGAGACTTTTTTACTGATGCCACTTCACCCCACAGTCTCTGCTCTTGCATCATTGGCCTGACAGTGTCTCCCAGAGACACACCAAGGTTCCCAGTAGGGCATCTGCCTGGAGAGGCCCCTCCCAGGGACCTGCAGTGTGGAGCCAGGCAGAGCCGTGACATCGGGACCCACGGACAGGAGGTCAGCGCAGACTCAGGGGGCAAAGCTTTGACCACAGTGCTGCGTCGCTGCACACTCCATCTTCTGAGTCTCGAGGGAGCCGTGGTCAGCTGAGCTCAGTGCCCAGAACTGCATGAAGCCTTGGGGGACCTATTTCAGCCCCAGGCCAGGGGATGGAAATCATGACTCAGCCCTCCACTGTCCTGTGTGCCTCCAGGAGGCTCCTCTGCTCCCCCCACAACCCCAGAGTTTACTAATTAGTCGAGGCAGGAGTGGGGTCCTCCACCATCACTTTTGTGCTACGTGGGCGTCTGCATTTTTGAGGTCTGTTGCATCTACAATCTGTAAATGCTGGGTGTCGGGAACCAAACCTACAATTCCCTCGAAGTGGTGAGCTTGGTGCCAACACATAGAGGAATGCAATCTGGAAGCGTCTTTCCAGCGCTGGGGATGGCTTTCATGACCAAGATGGCAAAAAACCTCAAGAGGAAGAGGTCCCTGGGGAAGGCCCCACCAAGAAAACCTCCCGTGTTTCATTGTGTCTCCCCAAAGATGCTAAAGGCAGAACCCCAGGACCTGTGAGTGTGACCTCATTTGGGAGGAGCATCTTTGCAGGTGATCAGGTTTGGATGAGGTCAGTAGGTGAGTCCTAAGCCAGTTTGACTGTTATCCTCATTAAAACTGGTAGACGTGCATGGAGGGACAGTGATGAGAAGAGACACAGGGAAAAGACAGCCATCTACAAGCCAAGGAGACCCAAGGCCACCAGACGCTGAAAAGGTGCAAAGAACAGATTGTCACTCACAGCCTATAAGGAAGCAGCCCGGCCCACGCAATGATCTCGGATTTCCAGCCTCCAGAACCAAGACAAAAAATTTCCGCGTTTAAGCTGCCTGGATGGTGTGGCTTTGTTATGGCAGCCCCAGGTCACTCATGCCCTTGTCTCCTTCTCAATAGCCTGGAGGCTGGAAAAGAGGTGAGGCTGGACGAGGGGGTGAGGCTAGAGGAGGGGCGAGGGTGCAGGAGGGGTGAGACTGGAGGAGGAGTGAGGCTGGAGGAGGGGTGAGGCTGGAGGAGGGGTGAGGCTGGAAGAGGGAGTGAGGCTGAAGGAGGGATGAGGCTGGAGCAGGGGTAAGACTGGAGGAGGGGTGAGGCTGGAGGAAGGAGTGAGGCAAGAGGAGGGGATGAGGTTGAGGAGGGGTGAGGCAGGAGGAGGCATGAGGCTGGAGGAGGGAGTGAGGCTGGAGGAGGGGGTGAGGCTGGAGGAGGGAGTGAGGCTGGAGGAGGGGGTGAGACTGGAGAAGGGAGTGAGGCTGCAGTGGGGGTGAGGCTGGAGGAGGGGTGAGGCTGGAGTGGGGGTGAGGCCTGAGGAGGGAGTGAGGCTGGAGTGGGGATGAGGCTGGAGTGGCAGTGAGGCTGGAGAGGGAGGAGAGGCTGGAGGAGGGAGGAGAGGCTGGAGTGGGGGTGAGGCTGGAGGAGGGAGGAGAGGCTGGAGTGGGGGTGAGGCTGGAGAGGGAGGAGAGGCTGGAGTGGGGATGAGGCTGAAGGAGGGATGAGGCTGGAGCAGGGGTGAGGCAGAAGGAGGTAGTGAGGCTGGAGGAGGGAGTGAGGCTGGAGGAGGGAGTGAGGCTGGAGGGGGGTGAGGCTGAAGGAGGGATGAGGCTGGAGCAGGGGTGAGGCAGGAGGAGGGGTGAGAGGCAGGAGGAGGTAGTGAGGCTGGAGGAGTGAGGCAGGAGGAGGTAGTGAGGCTGGAGGAGGGAGTGAGGCTGGAGGAGGGAGTGAGGCTGGAGGGGGGTGAGGCTGGAGGAGGGAGTGAGGCTGGAGTGGGAGTGAGGCTGGAGACGGGGTGAGGCTGGAGGAGGGGCTGAGACTGGAGGAGGGGCTGAGCCTGGAGGAGGGGCTGAGACTGGAGGAGAGAGTGAGGCTGGAAGTGGGAGTGAGGCTGGAGGAGGGAGTGAGGCTGGAGGAGGGGGTGAGGCTGGAGGAGGGGGTGAGGCTGGAGGAGGGGGTGAGGCTGGAGGAGGGAGTGAAGCTGGAGGAGGGAGTGAGGCTGGTAGAGAAGGTGAGGCTGGAGGAAGGGGTGAGGCTAGAGGAGGGGTGAGGCTGAAGGAGGGATGAGGCTGGAGCAGGGGTGAGGCAGGAGGAGGTAGTGAGGTTGGAGGAGGGAGTGAGGCTGGAGGAGGGAGTGAGGCTGGAGAGGGGGTGAGGCTGGAGGAGGGCGTGAGGCTGGAGTGGGAGTGAGGCTGGAGAGGGAGGAGAGGCTGGAGGAGGGGCTGAGACTGGAGGAAGGGCTGAGACTGGAGGAGGGAGTGAGGCTGGAAGTGGGAGTGAGGCTGGAGGAGGGAGTGAGGCTGGAGGAGGGAGTGAAGCTGGAGGAGGGAGTGAAGCTGGAGGAGGGAGTGAGGCTGGAGGAGGGGGTGAGGCTGGAGGAGAGGGTGAGGCTGGAGGAGGGAGTGAAGCTGGAGGAGGGAGTGAGGCTGGAGGAGAGGGTGAGGCTGGAGGAAGGGGTGAGGCTGGAGGAGGGAGTGAGGCTGGAGGAGGGGGTGAGGCTGGAGGAAGGGGTGAGGCTGGAGGAGGGAGTGAGGCTGGAGGAAGGGGTGAGGCTGGCTGGAGGAGGGAGTGAGGCTGGAGGGGGGATGAGGCTGGAGAGGGAGGTGAGACTGGAGAGGGGGTGAGGCTGGAGGAGGGGCTGAGGCTGGAGTGGGGGTGAGGCTGGAGGAGGGAGTGAGGCTGGAGGAGGGGGTGAGACTGGAGGAGGGAGTGAGGCTGCAGTGGGGGTGAGGCTAGAGGAGGGAGTGAGCTGGAGTGGGGGTGAGGCCTGAGGAGGGAGTGAGGCTGGAGTGGGGATGAGGCTGGAGGAGGGGTGAGGCTGGAGTGGGGGTGAGACTGGAGGAAGGGTGAGGCCTGAGGAGAGAGTGAGGCTGGAGGAGGGTGAGGCCTGAGGAGGGAGTGAGGCTGGAGTGGGAGTGAGGCTGGAGGAGGGGTGAGGCTGGAGTGGGGGTGAGGCTGGAGAGAGAGGAGAGGCTGTAGTGGGGGTGAGGCTGGAGGAGGGAGTGAGGCTGGAGTGGGGGTGAGGCTGGAGGAGGAGGTGAGGCTGGAGGAGGGGTGAGGCTGGAGGAGGGGTGAGGCTGCAGTGGGGGTGAGGCTGGAGGAGGGGTGAGGCTGGAGGAGGGGTGAGGCTGCAGTGGGGGTGAGTCTGGAGGAGGGGGTGAGGCTGGAGTAGGGGTGAGGCTGGAGGAGGGAGCTGGAGTAGGGGTGAGGCTGGAGGAGGGAGTGAGGCTGGAGTAGGGGTGAGGCTGGAGGAGGGAGTGAGGCTGGAGTAGGGGTGAGGCTGGAGGGGGTGAGGCTGCAGTGGGGGTGAGGCTGGAGAGGGAGGAGAGGCTGGAGAGGGAGGAGAGGCTGGAGGAGGAACGCACACCCTAGTGAGGTACAGCGTCAGGTGCTGTCGCCCTTCGCATTCATTGTGATTTAGGGCCCACTCTTTGTTGCGGGTCCCACCAGTGGCAACAGGGTCCTGGGTATGTAGCGCCGGTATCATGAGGCCCGGGCTTGGGATCTGTGCTGAGGCTCCAGGCATTATTTTGAGCTGTCGAAAGGTCAAGCGGATCAACTCCTACCCGGCAGCTCTCCCTGCTCCTCATCTCTGCAGGCCAATACAATGATCAAATGTCTGGCAGTTCCACCCACGAAAGTCATAAAAGGTTAGAAAGTCATTAAGCATTCGCTTTGTGTCCCTATCAAAGTCATCTTCATTTTGCCAAGACGTGTAAGGTTCTCTTTAGGGAGACATGCTCTCAGGATTTGAGTGCGATCCCTCATTAGCAGAATAGCAGGTGCAAAGTTGTGTGTCAAAACCCTGAGTGATGGGCTATAAATCGGCTCATCCCCCAGCTGCAGACTTTAAATTCCTGTCTTTGGAAGGTGGGCTCCCTCCAGGCAATAAGTGTGTCAGCTGTCACTCAGCATTATTTAATTTCCCTGCCAGGGGACATCCACGGGCATTGTGGATTGATGCTCCGTGCACCAACGTGCCCACTAGAGATGCCTGATAGTGCTTCTCATTTCTGCCCATTATCTCACCTACAGTTTGAGAAACAGGAGCTTAATATTGTTGGGATATTGATATGTTCCTGCATTGGCCAATCACACCTTCCTTGGCTGCTGAAGACCTTTCTCTTCCTTTTTATCCATCTACTGAAAGCAAAGTCTTCAGCAATGAAGTGTTAATGCAACCCAGTGTCCTCTCCCGGTGACAGATCGGAGCAGAGGACAGTTTCTAAACATCCTTCAGAGGGGCACGATATCTCCGTCCTCACCCTGGAGGTCCTGGTCATAATCTGGGACACTATCTCTTCCCAGGCCTTTGCCAACACTTGTCCAGCTGGTCTACCCCCCTCCAGACTTTTCCCCTTTGAGGGAGATGGCCATGGTGGGGAGCCTGGTGACGGGGCTACACAAAGAACAGGATGCGTGACTTTCATTTCTCCCTTAGGACGGGGGTGCTGACTCCTAGGAGGGAAGTGCAGGGGTCAGAGCTCTCCACAGTTCAGCTGAAATATGCTCCTGGGCAAGTCCTTTGTCCTCCTCTCAGTTCTTCCTCTTCACCCGTTAGAAATTCTGTTGGAATATATATATATTTTTTAAGATAGAGTTTCGCTATTGTTGCCCAGGCTGGAGTGCAATGGCACAGTATCAGCTCACTGCAACCTCCGCCTGCCGGGTTCAAGTGATTCTCCTGCCTCAGCCTCCTGAGTAGCTGGGATTACAAGTGCCCACCACTAAGCCTGGCTATTTTATTATTAGTAGTAGTAGTATTTTTAGTAGAGATGGAATTTCCCCATGTTGGCCAGGCTGGTCTCGAACTCCTGACCCCAGGTGATCCGCCCACCTCCCAAAGTGCTGGGATTACAAGCTTGAGCCACTGCGCCCAGTCTAAAACCTTTAATAGCGTAAATTTTACCCTTGTCCCCCCACCGCACACACCAGTTGCACTCGCAGAGGTAAGACCACTTTGTTCTTGGGCCTAATCACTGCAGTTGTACAATTCATGTTTCAGGGCGCGTGCGTGTGTGTGCATTTTGTCCTCATCAAAGCACTAGAGACCTCGCACAGAACAAACTCGACTGTTTTTATTTCACTTCTTATCATAAACACAGTATCAGGAGTAAAAAACGGTGCCATCAGGTCCCTGTGCCATTTATGCTTGTTGGAACATGGGCTTCTTTCTGTTCTGAGTTTGAAGTGGCTTCTGGTTTGATTGTAAAGCATGGTCTTTGGTGGCCCTAATGAGCTCACGTTCCATTGACGTGCAGCCCCATGGAACCCCCACCCATTGTAGGCCTATGAGACGTCTGCACTCAGGAGGCATCACAAACTCTGTCTGCAAATGAAGCACTGAGGGGCCCGGACATGTGTATTTCATGGGTTTCCTCTGCCCGCTCCTTTGTCCCATCGAACCTCAATCATTGTTAAATATTAAGAATTGCAGGACAGACCAGGCACAGTGGCTCACGCCTGTCCTGTAATCCCAGCACTTTGGGAGGCCAAGGCGGGCGGATCACCTGAGGTGTCTCTACTAAAAGTACAAAAATTAGCTGGGTGTGGTGGCAGGCACCTGTAGTCCCAGCTACTCAGGAGGCTGAGGTGGGAGAGTCGCTTGAATCCAGGAGGCAGAGGTTGCAGTGAGCCAAGATCATGCCATTGCACTCCAGTCTGGGCAACTGAACGAGACTCCATCTCAAAAAAAAAAAAAAAAAAAAAAAAAAATTGCAGGACAGTCGGGTGCGGTGGCTCATGCGTGTAATCCCAGCACTTTGGGAGGCCAAGGTGGGCGGATCACTTGCAGTCAGGAGTTCAAGACCAGCCTGGCCAACATGGTGAAACCCCGTCTCCATTAAAAATACAAAAATTAGCCCAGTATGTAATTCCAGGTACTCGGGAGGCTGAGGCAGGAGAAACTCTTGAACTCAGGAGGCAGAGGTTGCAGTGAGCTGAGATCGTGCCATTTGCACTCCAGCCTGGGTGACAGAGCAAGACTCCGTCTCAAAAAAACCAAATTGCAAGTCAAGGACAGCGAGCCTCAGACCAAGTGTGGGGGCTTCTGAGCACTGCACAGATTCCATGCCTGTGCCGCCAGCCCAAGCCCCCACTGAGGTTTGCACCATGGGGACAAGGGGTTGGTGGGGCCTCTGCAAAGCCTGGTGCCCACACTTCCAAGACAGCCTGAAGAGGGACCAGATACCCACTTTTCCCTGGAACAGAGATGTCCGCTCCCCAGGCCCCAAGCTCCGTGGGTCCGTCTTGTCTGCCTGTCCTGTTGTCTCCTGTGACACCATCGATCCTTATGCCCAAGTCTCCCTCACTCCGTATGCCCACCCCACCTCATGGCAGCCAGGTCGGGTCTGGGGGTAAAGCTTGGGATACAGAGCCTGGGCTGCAGAATCTTGCCTGAGCCCACCCAGAGGCTCAGAGCTGCCACACCAAGGGTGCCCAGAGACTCCCACAGGGAACACCTGGAGACCACGCCGCCTCCAGCACTCAGCCAGCAGGGGCAGCCAGCACAGCCCAAAGTTCAGAGTCAGACAGGTCTGTTTGGGCAGGGCCGGCTACCTTGGGCAGGCCTCAGTGCGGGGCAAGGATCCGGAGGCAGAGATACTCAGTGTTGGGGCACGTGGGCTTGGGGTCAGCCTGCCTGGGCCAGGACCAGTGCCATCCCCACCTCTGGCAGGCCTCACACATGCACTTCCGTGTGCCCATCGACGCCTGCCTCGTGCAGACGTTGTGAGGATCACAGGGAGCGTGGGTGGAACGACTTAGGCCAGCACCAGGTACATCACAGACGCTCACGGCCCGAGGGCTGTCAGGAGGGTCTTAGGGACAACCATCCCTCATACAGGGCAGACAGGGCAGACGGAGCATCCAGACACAGGTCAGGAGCCTCTGGCCACAGCGCCAGTTACGAGGCAGTGTCACCAGGGAAGTTAGAGAAGGACCCAGCTCTGGGCCCCATCCAAGCCCCCAGGACCGGCAGGAGCAGTGGAAGCCCCCAATCCCCGAGATTCTGATGCAGCCCTCAGCCTCCTGTCCCTGCTCCACCTGCTCAGACCTGCCCCCTCCACACGGAGCCCTGGGCCTCCTCCTCAGCCTGCCGCCAGCTGGGTCCCGCCTGTCTGAGCTGCAATGGCACCCATTGAAGACAGAGCCTCCTGGGGCTCCATAGTCCACCGCCAGCTGAGGTACCTGGTGCTGGCCTGAGTCCTTCCACCCGTGCTCCCTGATCCTCACAATGTCCGCATGAGGCAGGCACAGATGGGTGCATGGCGGCGTGTGTGTGAGGCCTCCCAGCTGCCAGCTGGGTTCTGCCTGCCCGAGCTGCAGGGGTGCCTGCTGGACACGCAGCCTCTCAGCTCTTGCCGTGCCTTCTGCTCTGGCCCTCGAGTAGAATCTGCTCAAGACGCGGGAAGCGTATTCTGCCCTGCGGAGCCTGGCGACCCGTCTTCCCACTCGCAGCAACTCCTTGCCCCAGTTTCTCGGCTCTGGGGACACCCGTGGCCATTAACAAGGGGGACAGCGTGGGGGGAGCTGAGCTGTTTGGAGCAGCCGGGCAGCCATTCACTCCGGTGGGAGACACCCTCCATTGGCGTCCGGGCTGTGCTTCTAAGCTGGGCTGATGGCCTCACGCTCTGATTGCTGATGGATTCTATTTAAAATGGGGCTGGAGGAGGGAAGTGAGAAGACGGATTGGTCCAGATGCTCAGGAGGGACCCAGCTCTGAAAGCAGAGAATGGAGTTTCCTTCTGAGTGGGTCCCTCCAGCCGGGGCCCAGCTGACCTCTGGCGAGGGCGTCTGCAGCATCCCAGGCTGACGGCAAAGGGGACGGGGCACACCCAGGTTGCAGTTAGGGCCCTTGGAGAAGCCTCCCACTGGCATCTGGGCGGCTGCAGTGCCCAAAATGGACACTTTAGGAAGAGCCGTGGGATTCCGGGGGAGGAAACAGCCCGGGATCAGCCTTCCGTGGATGCTGAGAAAGTTAACACAAACTCAGTGGCTTGAAACAACAGAAATGTGTTGTCTTGCAGTTCTGGAGACTGGAACTCAGGGAAAAGGTGTCGGCAGGCAGGTTACTCTGGAGGGCTCTGCGGGAGAGTCCGTCTAGCCTGCTGTATGCTCCTGGAGGCAGCCATCCTTGGTGTCCCTCGTCTCTGCCTCCGTTGTGGTTACAGTGTGGCCCTCCCAGGGCGTCTGTCTCTATCTCTCTCCTCTTCTAAGGACACGATATCTG